CTGAGCCATCTTCCCGGCCCTTTCTTTTTAAATTTTTAAAAAATCTTTCATTTATTTGGTATGGGGTCTCACTATGCAGCTCAGACCTATAGTGACCCTCCTGTTTTCAGCCTCCCCAGTGTTGAGATTACAGGCTGCAACACCACTCCATTTCAGTGGCCGTCAAGGCATGCAGTGCAGGATCAAACCCAGGTCCTCGTACTTGCCTGGCAGGTGCTTAGAACACTGAGCTATCTCGCCAGCCCCTGACCTTCTCATGTGGTTGTTTTGATTGACCCTTCAGAACTATCTTCAGTGTTATAATGCTCAAAACTGAGTTTCCTCCTACCGCTGGATTTCATTTCATGAACTATGCCTTATTTTTAAACCCTTGTTAGTCTTACACAAAAAGTAATGCATAGAAGGCTTAAACATAGAGTTTTAGAAAAATAGAATTCACAATACCTTTTGTGATGCTAGAAAATTTGAAAAAACTAGAACCCTAACCAGTTAAATACAATATGAAGTACAAGCATATCCTCATTATAACTGTAAAATAAGTAGGGGAGATAGCTCAGGGCCATAAATGCCTGCCTGGAAAGTGCAAGGTCCTGAGTTTGATCTCCAGTACAAAAAAAGTTATAACTGCTAAAAAACATTATTGACAATGTAAATTTAGCAAATGCAGGGTTTATTCAGGAATGCAATGATAAAAGCCATAACCATGTAGTAAATAGATGGTCAAAAGTCATTTGATATAACTCAATATTAAATTTCAAGTTCAGGCTTGGCAATCAGGCAGGTCTGATTTAGAATTACAAATCAGTTATTTGTACATATCCTCCCCTCCCCCACTGGACAGATACATTAACCTTCTGGGGACCTTGTAGATGGTTCTAGATTACCTTAAATCCCTGGCTAAAGCCATTTTATTCCTTTCTTTGCATAATATTTTCACTCTTTATTTGTTTCACGTCTTTTTTACTAGTGAATGTTGTTTACATAGATGAATAGGTTTCATTTTTGTGGAGTTGTATGTACACATGATGCACTTTGATTACCTTACCCTCCCTGCTTCATCCACTACCTTAGTTTCCCACTTGAAGGGGGAGTTTCAACATGGGCAATATTTTTGATCACACTATCTCCTTAATGTTATTTATTTATTTATTTGAGGTTTCTTTAATTTTTATATGTATTACTACATATTTGCAGCATATAATGATTATATTCCTTGTGGGGAGTCAGTACACGTACATAACACATTCTTACTCTTCGCTTTCATCCCTTGCTTCCTCTCCATCCTACTCTTGGTCCCATTCCCTTTTGCAGAAATTATGCACTTATCAGACTACTGGACTGAAAGCGCGCTGAAGATACACATTACTATCTGTAAGGCATAACTTAACATGTATAAGTGCACAGCCAGTAACAGAATTTGAGAGGGCCAGTCCAGCAGGAAAAGAAGAGAATGTAATTGAAAAATGATTAAGAATTCCAAAACAGTATCAGGGGAGAATGAATCAGGGACCTTTCAAAGCATAGCACCATATGCAACTATATACACTCACATGTGTGTGTTTGAAACAAGTTTAACATTTTGTTTGTAAAATTAAATTATAGAAACTTCTGAAACTATCTTAGATACTACAGTACACAGATTTCTGATTTCAGGCTATAAAGCATAAGCCTTTTAAATTTGGTAAACTGAGTAAAGATAATTATCAAGAAAATATTTTCATAGGCAGATAGAAGCAACCGGAATTTGATCCCTGGCCTGCAGTGCCAGCCCTGCCCCCAGGGCGCAATGAGACAGTGATTGAGACTGGGTATGATGGTGCCTGCCTGTAATCCCAGCGCTTAGGGGGCTGTAAACAGGAGAATCACTACGAGTCCTATCTACGTAGTGAGACCTTGTAGAACTTTTACTAAATACATTTTTAGAAAATGAAAATATTTTCAAACTAGCAATAATTGACTACTTTCACTGAAGATTGTATATGTTGAAAACAAATTGGCTAGCCTCTAACAATTTTCCATTTGACATACTATTTTACTTCAGTTGTTTCTGTTATGCTGTATTAATCATTCTCAGAATGTTATCTTCCCATTTAATAATTGTTAATTATAATTCATGAAATTTATGTTTTTTGCATCTTTAGAAGCTTTTCTGCATACATCATGAATTCTAGAGTGAAGCATAATAGAAATTAATCCATTTTAAAACAGCAAATCAGTAACTTTTTAATTTTAATTTTTATTTATTTTTTAAAATTTCCAAAACAATATGATAGGAAGGTAACAATGGTTAATACCATTGCAATATTTTGTTCAAATATAGTTTGAACAATTAAATTCTGATGTTATGTATTCTGTGTAACTAAAAGATAACTAAAGATAACCATACCATTGTATGGTTATCTTTAGTTACTCAGCATACACGACATCAGAATTTAATTGTTCAAACAATATTTGCACAAAAGTATTTTTCCATTAACTAAGATAAATTACATTTTAAAAATACATAAAACATTTTATGCTTATCCCTTTTACTAAAAATTACATTTACTTTATCAAAATAGCAATAACTAATTTAAGACTTGATACTAGAATTTTTCTACATATTAATTTTCTCCATAGACAGAATATTTTTAACTTGAGAAAGTTGGAATATACTCATTCTCATTTAACCAAAAGTATTCCAAATGTTTTCTGAACATTTTCAAAAGTGATTCTTCATATGTAAGGGCAGAGCCCAGAGAGGAATTTATATCTCTTCTCCTATACCTCTAAATCATTTTTCCCAAAATCTAGGTTATGCATAAGCCTTTATTTCACTATCTTTTGGGGTGTTTGCATACAAAAGGAGGGAGGGTTTCCTCTTGTGAAAGTTGTTGATGGATACACTTCTACTCTATCCCTGAAAAGTTCAATCACAGAAGGAAGAAAAAAGTGCAGGCTACAAGCAGTTATGCATCTCAAATAACCATCCAAGGCATGCAGAGCTAAAGAGGTTATCAGTAACAGTGTCTGCAGCTCCATCTCTCTTTTCCTGCACCTGCCCATCTGGGTTCAGTAAAAATTGGAATATTTGACTTTTTCTTCCTCCATTCTGTCTTTCTGATCTCCTTCCTCTCATCCTGTTTCCTACTGCTTTCTTTCTGCTCTCGCACATTCTCTTTACCACACAGTCTTCCTGTCATTGCTGTACTGTGTCACTCAACAATACTGAGTGCCAACCGTGTGCTAGTCCGTTCTGAACAGTAGTAAGCTTGTGTAAAAGCAGGGTAGCTGGAGTACAGTGAATTCAAGCAGGCGTGAGGAGTGGGGACAGGATGCTGACCCCCCCCCCAGGGCCTTGAGGACTTGCTACACAGGGTGGGAAGTGTGGTCAGCCATCCTGCTGCTCTGAGGAGAATCAAGAGGTTGCAGGGAAGAATGAAAGCTTGAAGATCCCTTAGCCTTGGTGGTCACTGGGCAGGACTTGCCTATGGACTGGACACGGAAAGAAAGACTAAAGAAGAAGGCACAGGGCCGGAGATACAGCTCAGTGGTACAAGACTTGCCTGGCAAGTGCAAAGTCCTGAACTTGATTTCTGGTACAAATATATATATATTCAATTTTTAGGCTTAAATCACTTTGCCTTATGATACAATTTATTGTTTTCTTTCTCTTTCTGCTTTCTTTCCCTTTACCCTTTTTCTTTGTCACACCATAACCAAATCTAGAAGACTGTTAACCAGCTCCCAGTTCTTTCCTACTCAGCTGTCAGTTTAGAAGTTACAAATTCCAGGAACCTTTCCTGGGGTCCCCACGCTGGGTCGGCAGCATCCCACATGTCATCTGCCTCTTCACATCAATTTCTGTAGTGCCGCATTACTTCACAAGGTCCTGTGACACGGGGGTTCCAAGCATGGACTTTGAAGCCAGAATGCAGCAGGGTTTTGTCCTAATTCTGCCAGGTGAGTGAACTCTGTCGTGTTCCTTAAGGAAATCTCTGTTCCCATCTGTGTTAAGTGCAGATAAGAAAATGGTTTGCCTCATAGAAAGCTTTCCATCCAACCATGTATGGCAAATGCTAAATAAATTAGAACCATAACATCTCTGTTTTTGGTTTCAATTTTCCACCACCTTCATCTAAGCAGATTCTCTATAGAATATCAGAATCCAAACTAAAGAGAAATGCCTCGGTAATTTAGACCTGGGAGGGGGGGAACCTCCCTCTTCGGTGACACACACACTAAGTGCAGTTTGATTTATTAGCCAGGTTAGATAAGTACATATATGGGAGTCATAGTTACTACAGTTAATTTCTATGTTCTCCACTAATTCGGGAGATTTTTAATTGTCCAAAGACAGCACTTACCTACTAGATTAGGTGGCCCCACAAAATTATATTCCCTTAACGTCCCACCTGAGCAGGTGCATGTACAGAAAACGGAGAGAAAAAAAAAACTGATTAGAGATTGGAGGGGCATAGGGCGTGAACCTCTTAATCATTCTTCACTTCCTTTTTTTACAAGATGACTTGGCAACGTCTGCCACATCCGCGGCAGAAGCAGCGACGCCTCCTTGGTGGAGTTCGCTTACAAGAGCCCAGCTTTTGCCCTGCACATTTGTGGCTTCCGTGGACATATTAGCAACTGGTGGTTTTAGCTCCCAGTCGCCCAGAGTTGCCAAGGGGGTGAGAAGTCATCTGGAAAGTATTTTAGCCTGAATCACACTGATTCACAAGACTAGCTGGTTTCTCCTGAAGTGTTTGGAAAATCTGCACCGTGCTCAAGTCCTGGTGCAGGTGCATGGTGAAGAAATCCAGGAGATAAACCCAAAGACTGAACTTGCAGACCAGGCGCCAAGTAGAAACTGAAAGTATACTACCGGGTGATCCTACGGAAGTTATGGAAAAGGCAAACCCCAGAGCCCGGCCGTGATGTGTGCCGCCCCTGGGATGGATGAACCGGCAGGGGCCCCGTGGAAGACAGAAACCAGCTGCAGAGCCTGCCCTGCCCAGCATCGACTCCTGGCAAGTCCGCTGAAGAGCAGGGTTCTGGGCGTGATTATGGGTGGTGAGAGCTTGCTCCTGCTGCAGTTGCGGTCATCATGACCATGCCCGCCTCCCGCAGACCATGTTCCATGGTAAGCGCTCCTCTCTCAGAAGCACAAGTTCGCGCGCCTGGCGCGCCGGGGAGTACGGTACGCGCGGCCGGCCCCCCGCCCCCGCGCCGGTGCACGTCCGGGAATAGCCTGGCCTTGCACTTTGGACCTACTCTGAGCCTCTGGGCACAGCCTCTTTCTTGGTCAGAAACTGCCCGCTCCCGAGGAGCGTGGCTCGTAACCACTTGCACCTGGGCTTGCTGACCTTCGCAGGCTGCGAAAAAAGCAGTACCCGGCACCCGCTTTCGGCCCCTAGATCCAGCGCTGCAGCGTCGGCGCTGCTGGGCCAGGTCACCGAGGTAACCAGTGGCCAGCGCAGGCCGTCTGTCTGTACCCCGCCAGCGTAACCCCCCAGCTACAAGACGCCAACCAATCCTCCCCGTGCTCTTCACTGCGCAGTTACTCACAGGCAGCCTGCGTTCAGCAAGTGTCTGGGTTCTAGCAGCTCCGAACTTCCTAGAGAACTGAAAGCGAAGTTCCCTGGGGAAGCGCTTTTAAACCCTAGGGGACAGGTCTCTGGAAAACCCCGTGTTTCTCCCTCAGCAATGCTGGGAGTTTCCGACTAGGGCTGTACCTTGTAATGATTGCTGGGAACCCAAGTCTGGGACAGGCATTGCGAAAAGCCAGACTTTGTTTTTATGTACACTGGCTCCTTGATAGAGCCAGGATTCAGTAGACAAATGTCTAAAATTCTAGGTGCCTGGTGAGATCTTACATATTTTATTGGCGCAGAACAAAGCCTGACAATGGAAAGGGACGGAACTGGCGTGAGCTGAATACCTTTGGGAGCCATGTGGCCAATTTGCGACTTTAGATTTAAAAATACAGGAGTAAAAGAGGAGAATGGGATGTGAGGGGAGAGGATCTGGCTAGGGAAATCGGAAAGTTCCAATAAGTACTTCCTCGGGCAGAAACCCTGCTGGGGGAGGGTGCTGCGGAAGGGAAGCCACCATCTGCTCTTCCTTCTGATGGTCCCCTGCTGCCCTGGTTATTCAGTTACATCAGGAGTCATTTCCCCTCTCACAGGTATTAAAGTGTCCAGGGTTGTTCTACCTAAGGAGACCTGCTCTTTAACAAAATGAAGGTGGGGAGATGAGAGGGACATTTAGGGAAGTAATGGATGTTCTTCAGGAGATTAATACAGAATTGGAGATGGAACATGTTCTGGTTTTCTTCACAAAACCTTTGAATCTTCTGTGTTCTTTCTTTCTGGTCCACCCCTGGTTGCACCACGTCTAAGCCAGAGGTAAAAAGAGAAGGAAAGTGAGGGTGTGTGTTTTTAGCACTGCAACTTTATCTTATGAAGTAAATGAGTCATGCATCATAAATTATGATTGGCAAATGAAATATTAAAATTCTAAACTATTAATGTTTGTTATAATGAAAAACTTTCTGCTGTTTAGTTCCAGGAGATTTCATTAGATGTTTAGGATCCACTGGGATTGTGATAGAATTACTCCAGACCTATCTGTGTTATGACTTCTGGGTATTGAAGATGAGGACCAACAATGTGGTCCTCAGCTGTGCTGTATGGTCTGTGTTATTTCATCACATTTGAGGATGAAAAATGAAATAGTTATAAAAGAAGAGAACTGGGAATGATTTGGAAGCCTGAAAAGGTATAAAGAATTGCAAATGGCAATATATCAGCATTTCTGTATCTTAAGCAAAAATAGATTATTTCATGGGGTCACCATACACGTCATAGTCACCCTCATGTATATGAGGTTTTATCCCAGTCTTATCACTGTACTAAGAGCAGATATTTAGTGGATTTTTTTCTGAAATAAGCACATATGATACAATTTCAGAGATTGACCAGGAAGTACATTAGTTCTTGCAGAGGATTTTTTAGAATTGTTTCTTTTGACTATGTGTCTACACTTACTTTTATTTGAAGTGGTGTGTGTTAGCAGGTAGTAGCTCAGTTTCTAGAATCCTGAACCTGACCAAATTAGGTTGGAATCCTAGTTCTTATTAGGCACATTTATATATATTAGGAAAATGTTCTTTTCCCACAGATTCTCCACCTGAAAAATGTAAATACCATGTAGATGTGTACCTCATGAAGTGCTTATAGAATTAAATTCCCAGTGAAAGTAGGTCTTGGTAATATATGTTCAAGAAACCTTTGTTGATCTTAAAGACTGATAAAAGACTGGATTTGGTGGACTGTAGAAACCCACTTATTTATGTTCACTTTGACCCCATAACTTAAACAACTGAGGATAGAATGTATTATTTGGCTTAAATTAAAAACCAACAAGAGTTTTTAGACAGCCATCATTCTGGTTTAACCAAATTCCCTACTGAAAACAATTCTCCAGTTTCAATTCCTTCAGGAGACTTAAAGACAATTCCACAAGTCCATACTTGACTTGCATTGTTCATTATGGTTTGTGTTGTCTGTGACCTAATGAAAAGTTCATGGAGAGGGAGAAAGGTGGCTGTCAGTGTAGTAAGAAACAAATGCAAACAAAATAAAAGTTGAGTTTCTTTCCCATTGTGATGCGCAAAGCCATACACTCTTAATATATTATACATATTCTGTGTGTGGTGTGGTAGACAAGAGTTCAATTATAAAACTATTCATCGAAATATAACATGTTTTTATTTTAGAAATCTGGTATGTGTAACTTAACTGGCATCCCAAGACAAAAACTCCCAAGTCTCCATATTCCAGATCTCATTCTTTGCTTTGCCCTGCTCTATCCAGAACCGACTCACTCAACAACAGTAAAAACAACTTTGCAGTCTCTTTACAGGCCGGGTAACTTGTTTTAGAACTGAGAAAGCAGTTGTAGTACACAAAAAGGCTTGGATTTTCACCAAACCACTGTTAGAAAACAGTGACAAAATGCCATCTGATGCATTAGTCAGTTGAGAAGTATTTCTAAGAGCATTTATTGACAACTGAGGTGAAGAAGATGGCACTTTCTGATGGAAAACAGAACAGCCTCATTTGGAGATAAAATTTAAAGATAATAATAACATTTTCCTTTGATAGTAATGTTAATTTTATTATATTCTTTTAAAGTTTATTTCAAGTTATATGTTCTATAATTTTTTATCTAATCCTCTCAAAGTATAACTTTTAGAAACCTGAAAAATTACAGAGAAAATGTATAAAATGTGTTTTATACAATCTACACAGATCCAATATGAGCTCAAAATATAATAAATGATTAGCAATTGATTAGTTTGTTGATCTTCAGGATAAAGATAGGGAGAAAGATAAAAAGGGAAAGAGAGATGAATAGTATTACAGGGAAGTCATTTTCATTTAGAAGACCAATGCAATTACATGTTATAAAAATATTATGGCCATTTTTTAAAATCTATTTGATACACTGTCTCCCTATGCAGTTTAGACTCATAGTATCCTCCCATTTTCAGCCTCCTCAGCACTGGGATTACAGGCGTGCACCACCACGCCCCTTCTTGGTGGCTCACTCAGCGCACCCTGGAGTGGGGCCAGCACAGCATGTGGGACAGGGTTCAATCCTGTGAGACCTGAAAAATTACAGAGAAAAAAGCAGGTACTTAGTCTACTGAGCTATCTCGCTGGCCCTTGGCCATTTCTAATCAAATTATGGTGTCAAGGAAAACTCAGGTTAGCATCCAGAATCATGTACCAGTCCCTGTCACAGGGAAGATAATCAATTAAAGGTTATTAAGAACAATCATTATTAATCTTGAGACTAAATGAGTTATTGCTAATCATGTATATAGCTATTTATTGGCAGAGCTATGAATGGATTTCACGCCTCAATACCAGACTTTTAATTCTCTGCAGCAAGTGTGAGTCACACATAAGAAGGAAATCTGTTCTCATAACTGCTACCTAGCCTGCTTTCTACATTCATAAAATTGCTCAGCAAAAGCACACTTTATTGGGAAGTACAAATTACTTTTTTATACGTCAGATAATAACATGACAATATTATTGAGAGTTTTATGATGTCTCTTGGGTTTTAAAGATTGGTACTCATATTCTTTAAGTAAAGAAGACACACATGTGAGATGTTTTGCATCAAACAAGTACAGTCAAAGTATATTTTGGAAATTAACAGGAAGTTTGTCAACATGATCCAGGTTTCACAGAAGGATCTAAACAAGACAGTATGGAAGGTTTATGAAGAAATAAGTGAGATTCAGTATTGCCAAGGCTTTCCATTCAGTGTGTTTTTACATCCTAACTGATAGCATATATTACTTCATTATTTTTGATTGTGTAGTGGTCCCTCATTGGAAAACCATCAAAAGCAAGACCAAGTCATTAGTTTATAGGATATGCACTTGCTTCTTAGATTTTGCTAACATGGTAAGAAGCTGAAGAGAGTGAAAGACAGAAAGTAGAGTCCAAAAATATGATTAACTTGGTAAGAATTTTGGGAAAGGTAAACCCTTTCAAAGAAGAAATACAATCATAGTGCTGATAAACTTCCCAAAGTGCTGCAGCCAGAAAGGAACTGACTATTCGGTCATGCAGACTACCTTAAAGTTTTATATAAATAATCACTTAGTGTACATCATGAAATTTCAAAAACATGTGACTTTAAAACTGCACTATACTTTTTACCTGCAGATAACATGGCTTATAGGTATGTTCAACAAAAATCCAAATTGGTTAAGGCATTGATACTCACGAACATATCTTTCAGAAGCATTCTTAGATTTTTTTTTTCACACCTGTACTACACTTTCCCTAAAAGTAATTCTGTTGTTAACAAAAAGAAGAGGGGCTGGCCAAATAGCTCAGTGGATTGAAGCCTCTGCAAGCAGGCGCAGGGGCCAGGGGTTTGATCCTCAGGCCTGAGGTGCTGGCCCTGTGGTGGTGCATGCCTGTAATCCCAGCTCTTGGGAGGCTGTAAACAGGCAGATCACTATGAGTCTAATCTAGTAGTGAGACCCTAAACACCCTGTAGACCCCTTCCCTAAAATACAAAAAAAAGAAAGAAAGAAAGAAAGAAAGAAAGAAAGAAAGAAAGAAAGAAAAGGAAAGGAAAGGAAAGGAAAGGAAAGGAAAGGAAAGGAAAGGAAAGGAAAGGAAAGGAAAGGAAAGGAAAGGAAAGGAAAAAGAAGAAAAGAAAAGCAAATCTGAACTCCAAAATGCTTCCCCCTTTTGGCCATACACAATTTAATGTTTTAAGGTTCTGTCTGCACTATTCAAAAACTGAAATATATTTTAAAAATAACTAGAAGTGGTCCAATCCATCGATAAACCACAATCAAATGTAACATAGCATCACATTTAGCTCATTCTCATTTTGTGTTGAATTTAGTTTCTTTTAGGTATATTTTTGGAATTCCTCCCTTGATCCTTGTTCTGTTACCAGTAACTTCATGTAATTGTCATCTTAAAGATAAAGAAGGTAAAGAATTTGAGAATGTTATACTGATCAGCATCGATGAATTGGTATGTGGTTGTTTTGTTTTCTTTACATTTTCACTTTTTGGGAAAACATGCAATATACTTTTGGTATGCAGTGCTATAATAAAGTATCCATTTATATTTCTTGAAAAGAAAGTAAAATAACTATAGGACAAAATGTAATGAACTATTAAGTACAGTGTACGTTTTATAGCTTGCTTTATTATGTCTTTTAAAAACAAATTTTTCTATCTCTGCTCTATTCTCCTTACAACCAAAATTTATATCATCATGATTCAGCATCATTAAAACTTAAAGAAATATTGAACCCTTTTAGTTTAGAAATCTGGCATATGAAACTTAACTGGCATACCAAGACAAAACCTTCCAAGTCTCTGTACTCCACATCTCATGCTTTGCTTTGCCCTTCCTTCATTTCCTTCCTCAGCTCCAACTTACCTTAGTCTATATAGATGTGTTACATTAGGAAGGAGAAAATAACAGTGGATATAAAATTTGAAAACTATGCCAAAAAGAAATGTGTATTTATTTTTTCTGAACTTGTGCAAATGCATAGATATTTGTGTATTTGCCTTTTTATTTGTGTGCATGATATGAAATCTTTGGTAAGTTACTTTTTATTTGCTATAGAGGAATTTTTGATTACAGATCTTGTACTATAGAGGAAATTTTGATTTATGGAAAATATGAGCGAAAGGTAAATAATTTTTATATACCCCTTCTCCCTCTTATGGTTTCCACCATTATCATTTTGCATTAGTGAGGTACATTTGTTGCAGCTGATGAGGCAGTATCAATACATGATTATTCATTATAGCTCACAGCTAAAATTAAGTAAGTTTCCTAGTTAGTGGGCTTTGATAAGTATATAATGTCCTGTATCCTTGACTATGGTGTCACAAAGAATAGTTTCATTGACACAAAAATCCTGCATGCTCCTATTCATCTCACTGTATTTGCTTATATGTTTAAGTATATTGAGGGCTCTTCAGGATTTTCAACATAGACAATCATGTCATTGTCCAAACTTACTTTCTCATGTTTTAACAGGCCTATCAATACAATGTGATATATTGATTTGACAAATAATCAGCCCCTTTGAACTATGTTGAAGGTTTATGTGGTATAGAAAGCTCTTTCTAATGTTCATAAAATGAAGAAATTGTCTAAACAATTTCTTTTTTGCACTCTCCTGTCTTTCCCATAAAATTATATTAGAGTAGAATGATGTCTTGGAAAACTGTTATACATCATGGAGAGGTACAGGACATTCAACGTGATATGCACTGGAGCACCAAAGTCCCTGATTTTTGACCATTCACAAGAAAAAAAATATACTAAATAATTTTACATTTCACGATACTTTTTTATTGACTGAATTAAATGTGGCTGATAATTTTATCTTTGTTCATGTTCTATCTGGATTATTGGTTCATTGATGAATAGGGTGCTAAAAACCACAACTATTATTTCATTAGCATTTTCTATCCTTTTGATCTAATAAAATTTGCCTTACATATTTGATGGATTCATATATATTTACCTTTGTTATATCTTCTGTTAAATTTACCCTTTATCAATACACAATTACTATCTTTTCCCCTTTTAGTCTTTATTATTTGAAGTCTGTCTTATGCGATATAAGTTTAGCTACTACTACTAAATTTTGCTTTCAGTTGGTATGGTTTATCTTCTAACCTTTTATTTGCAGCTTGTGCCTATGTTTACCAGTGAAATGGGTTTTCCCAGGTAGGAGATAACTGGGTCTTGCTTTCTTTTATCCACTCATCTAATCTGTATCTTTAAATTGGGGACTGGCATGTATACACTCAATGATATTATTAATAAGCATAAACTTAACATTGCCTTTGTGTTCGTAATATTTTGTATATTCTTTGTTCCACCCTTCTTTTATTATGCATTTTTGTGAATTTTTTTATTTCTGTCATTATAAGGTTTTCTCTCTTGTCTATCTCTGTTTCTCTGTTCTGATAGTGAGATCTGCATAATCATACATTTTCATGATCACAGTCATCACCCTTTTGTTTTTAGTATGTCTGTCTATAAGCATTCCCATAGGGCTTACCTGGTGGTGATGAATTCTCCTATTTTATGCTTTTCAGTGAAAGAACTAATTTTTCATTCTCTTGCAAAGAATAGTTTGGAATAGTATTTCCAGTTCGCAGGATTTCTTTTAGGACTTTGAATATATCATTTCCCTGTCTTGATTTCTGTTGAGAGATTTGCCATTAGTGGGGGTTTTCCTGTATGTGATGTGGCATGTCCTGCTTTTATTATCATATATCACTTGGTGTGTCCTTTTGTCTTTTACTTTGGACCTACTACCTCAAATTCCTTTTAGATAACAATTTTTGGTTGAGTCCAGTTGGATTTCTTTGAATATTTTGGATATGGATGTCCATATCTTAACTTGAAGACTTGAGAAATTTTCAGCTAATATTTTGTTAAATAAAATTTGATTGCTTTTCCTAATTCTTTTCCTGGAATTTCCATAATGTGGATATTTATTTGTTCACTTAATAGTGTCTCATTTGTTTTATGGGCTCACCTCACACACTTTTTTTCTTACTTTCTTTATTTCCTTCTTTCTCTCTTTTCTTGCTTGAGCTATTTTATGCTCAAATTGGGAAATTCTTTTTTATTTTTTGAAGAATATAAAATAGTGATAAAAAAACAGCATTAGAAGAAATATACAATTTCACTAAACATAGTAATAGGAATTCAACAATGGTTGCTGTATTGCATGATGTCATCTTCAAATTAGTTGTTCAGGTTACCAGATATAAATGTGCAAGATTGGTTTACAGAAGAAACAAAACAAAACAATAACAAAAAAGTTGCAAGAGGACCAATGAGATAGCTCAGCTGACTAAATGTTTGCTTAGGCAAGCATAGGGGCCAGGGTTCAACCCCTGGCACCACATTGCATGCCAGCTCCTCCCCTGAGTTCGCTGAGCTGGTGAAGGAATCCAGGCATGGTGGTGCACTCCTGTAATCTCAGCACTAGGGAGGCTGAAAACAGAAGGATCACTACAAGTCTGAGCTGTGTAGCCAGACCCTGCACACTCAATGAATAAATAAATACCTTAAAAAAATTGAAAGGAATTCAAAAGAAAAAAATAAGAATAAAAAGAAAAAATATTTTAAGCATTAGCTGCTCTTTTAAAAAGACCAACATAAATCAGCAGTAAAATTAACGAAACTGTTCTGTATATGTATGTAAATATATATTATCCCCTTCTTTCATCCTTTTCCTCATCCCAGAGAAAATCTTTCTTCTATTTGATCTAGTCTATTATAGAAACTGTACATTCTATTTTTAATTAATTAATTGAAATGTTCAACTCTAGGATTTCTGATTTTTAGGGAATTTTATCTATATTGAATTTTCTTGTTCATATAATTAATTGATTTTCCTCTTGGATATTTGGCACTCTGATTAATATTAAATGACAAGAGGTGCATGAGTCAGATTGGGTTAAAGTGTAGCTCAGTCATAGAGTATTTGCTTAACATTCCTAAAGTCAGAGAAAAGGGAAGGGAGGGAGAAAGAGGGAGAGAGAAGGGATGGGAGGAAAGGGCAGAACAAAAGAGGCAGGGGGAGAGAGAAAGACAGATAAAGAGATTACTCATGAATTTATTCCTGATTCTCTGATTTGTAAATCTTCAGATGAGGTCTTCCTGGATTAGGTGCATTTTACATTGAATAATAAATGTTGTTAGAAGTAAAGAGTAGAGAAAAGTCACAAAGGAAAACTCATGTGTAGTCAGAGGCAGATCTTGGAGTTCCAGATAGATGTCCAAGAGTGCCAGTGATTGCTACGAAAAGCCACTACAAGCTAAGAGCGAAGCTTCAAATAAGTTTTTCCTCAGAGCTTCCAGCCAGAAGTACTGTGCCAGCACTTTAGTTGTGGACTGCTGGCCTACAGATCTGAAATAAATCTCTACTGCTCTAAGACATATTTGTAGTAATATGCTACAATCAGCAATGGGACATTCACAAAAATGGTTTCAAAATGGTCATTATTCTGAAAAAATTGTCTCATTAATACTCTACTTAGGCAAGAGCTAGGGACAATGACAATGCCTTCTGAAATGCATGTAGATTGGGGTCATACTTCTCTGAGTAGGATGCCCTATATCTGAAGCAAAACATTCAGCTGGGAGGAAATGCAAGGGCCATGTCATGACTGCCTCATTATCAGCTCTCTACACCCCATGACACACTTTAACAAAAGTAAGCTGTAAGAAAGTGAGCTTAACATTGATAAAAGTGTGCAGGATTGGTTATGGAGAAGGCTGTGTGCCTTTGGGGGTGAGAGATCTACAATAAATCTTTTACCTTCTTCTCAATTTGTTTTGAATTGAAAAATGCTCTACAAAATATTTTTGAGAGAGTCAGTCTTTGTCCAACAATTGTTCACCACTTTCCCACTCTCCAGTGGAGCACCAGTGCCAAATTTCCCTTTCCACCTACACTCCTCAGTGTTCCCAGGCTTTCTAAAAGCAGGTGCAACACATAATAGTCTGGCCTCATTGAGCAAAATATACAAACAACTCAATTACAAGGGCAAAAGACTTGAATAAACATTTCTCAAAAGAAGACATAGTAATTGTCAACAATTGTACAAAAAATGTTAAATCTCAGTAATCATGAAAGAAATGCAAATCAAAACCATTCTGAGATACCACCTCACTCTAGTAACAATGGCTATTATAAAAGAGAAAAAAATAAAAAAAAAGTGTTGAGATCATGTGGAGAAAAGGTACACTTAACACGCCACCATTTGGGTTTTAAATTAGTACAGCCATTTTAGAAAACAATATGGCACTTTTGTTAAAAATTCAAACTATAAGTATTATATATTTCATCAATCTAACTTCAGGGTATATATCTGTTTCTTTCAGTGTATACTTCTTTTAAAAAAAGAAATTAGTAGGTTGAATATATAACTGCAGTTCCACAGTTGTTGCATCACTATTCGCACAAGCCAAGAAATAGG